AACATATTTTACTAGCTTCTCTGATACTAAGAGAGTAATTGAACAATAGTGTAGAATGTTTGTGCACCTCCTATTAAATACCAAAAAGTGTTAGTTACTGATTTTTATTAGCATAAGAATAGTTTTCAACAATTTTGAAGCAAGTGAAAAAAACCCTCAAAATATAACACAGCTGTTTCTGAAACTGTTAATGTATGTACCATATTTGGATATGTCCATATTCTGATCTCTGGCAAATGTATTTTATTGTAATTACTTAGCTACAACATTAAAACATTATTTATATATACATTTTGTGTCCCCATGCCAATGTCTGACCTTTACTGTGGGTGATCTCACTCAACAACAATTGGCTTGAAAATATTTTGTACAGACACCAAAAATCAGATCTGAAAAAGGTACAAGACCTTCAGCTGGATTATTTTTTTGCATGCTGAAGGTAATTCATCTGCTTACCTATATTTATAGGCCTTTTAAATAAGGTTTCTGCCTGCGTGTTTATAAATGGTGTTTTTGTATCTTGTTTCACATTCATCCACTTATCAAAAAAGTTTTAAAAAATTCAGCACAAAGGACTTCAAACTGTCATTAGGGTCTGTCAACACGGAATTTATAGTTTATCTCAGCCCAAGCAGTTGTATGCACAAAGAGTTCCTCCTCCTGCCTGGAGTGCTATTGGATACATTGCTTTTCATATTCCACCTTAGCCAGTAAGTCTATAGGGGACAAAGAACAAATATATTACCTATCACAGGTGACAGGGATGCTAAGCAGCTAGCCTCCGATTAGGTTATTGGCTAAAGGAACAGAATAAAGAGCAGATGCAGCTATGCAGAGGCAGCCAGTATTTAGGGACCCATCTTCTTTGCACTGTTTGCACAGATTTTATGTTTTACTAGGAATTATAGTGCCCGGTACATGCTTTAGCTAGTATTCTCAACTGGAATCTCCACCAGTTACAAAATACAATCACCAATCTACAAGAGGCCTGAGGTTTCTGCATATTTAACTTGTCCACCCTTTAGCAGCCACAGCTTGTGTACACTGGGTACTTCTGTAATCCTGCACACAGGAATCACAAAAAGGCTTCAAAGTCTATACCAACAGTAAAATAGACAAATGCAAACTCCTTGTTTTTAACGGAGTTATCCAGTTTGTTAAAAAAATGTTTTATTTTCCTATGTCACTGACTAAAACAACAAAAAGTGTGAAGCATGCTATTGTGACAAGAACTCAAATTCAAGAAGTTTTTCACAAATTAGTTTGTCTACTCCAGGATGAGAACACAAACTTGCTTTCCATGAAACATTTAAATATTGCCCCCTTTGAAAAGGGCTGTCCTTCGTCTCCCTCAAATAATATAACTACAACTTGCAAAAATGAAAAGTAGTAGAAATGTTCATTTCTAAATGAGAACAAGTTCGTAAGAATAGACAGAAAACAAATTATGTTGAATGTGGCAATGCCTTGTAATAATTTAGCACATAGCTTCTCAAATCAAAATTTAAATTTTCTCTCACTCCACTTACAGATAGCCTCTACAGATTATCTTAGCAGAATAAAGAGCAAGTATTCAAACAGAAAACTCCTGTTAGTCTTCTAAGTATTAGGAGTTCTTGTTAGAATTGTCCTTATTATAAATTATAATATATATATATTTTTATATATATTAAATATATGAATTTACAGTCT